ACGCATGTATGCATGTTTGTATGTATGTATGACTGTATGCGCGCGCGTGCGTGCTGCATGCATGTATGCATAATGCATGCATGCATGCATGCCAGTATGTAGGAGGTATGCAACGTATGTCATGCACACTGCGCATGATATATGTTATGTACGCTACCTTACAAAAGGTTAGGTTAGCTTACGCCTTGTCGTGCTATGTTATGGTTTGCTCTGTTTCGTTTGTAAACATGTACGTATGCCTGGAGTGGCATGGCCTAGCATGGAACGGCATCGTGTGATGTGGTATAGTATGGTATGGTATGTATGTGTGCGTTTGCGTGTGCGTGTCGCATGTACGAATGTGAGTTTGGTACGTGTGCATGGTATGTGTGTGTGTATGTATGTATGTATGGATGGCATGGCATGGCATGGGATGGGATGGGATGGGATGGGTTGGTATGGTAGGTATGCGGTAAACCGGGCGGCGGGTGGGTGAGCGGTGAGCAATGGGCATTTGTGTATGTCTGCATGTTCGAAGATTCCACAGAACATCACGACGTGATATACCCGACTAGATTTCAGCTGTTTGTTTTCTACCCTACTCTAACACCTGCAGAGCAACTCGTGCAAGCGGATGCGCTCCACTCGGCTCCTGGATGAGGCTTTCAGACACTTCTTCGGCAGCTGCGGCACAACTTGGCACCAACGGGACAGCTTTTGCTTGACCTGCTCGAATCTTAGGGGCACCGCAGGCAGTCACGAAACAGAAGCGCGGATCCTTGAAATTGAGATGTTCAGGTCGCCTCCCGACTGGCCGGCAGTCCATCGAGCGGCGAGGAGGAGTCGTGACAGGCACCGAGATTAAGAACTCCAATGATTTTGATGCTGAATGACTGCGCCCGGAGCACAGGCTCCCCGCAGGCAGCTTCCTCGCGGGGCGCTGGGTATCACTGAGCTGCTGGCTGAGTGCCTTGGTTGCACCATGGGGCCTGTGAACAGTGACAGGGATCCGTGCATGTGAAGGCATCGAATGTTTTGCAGATTGCGAGAGATACAAAGCCGGTCTGTAGTTTGGAAGATGGCCCTGTAGCCTGAAGCAATGGCCGACAGGGGGGACATCCGAGCGAAGGAAGCCGAGATTGTTTACGATCACAGGCATCACAAGTTGAATCACAAGCAGATCTTCTTGCTTCGATTGTGTAGCAGCAGCAGCAGCAGCAACAGTGCGACGCCGACATCGTCCACTTCGGCATCCTCTCCCAGTACATCCGGTTCAAGCTCTTCTACGAGCAGAAGCTAGACCATTAAACGAGCAAGATGTGTTTGTCTACAACAAGTAAAAGCCTGAAGCCGAGGCTTCGGTGAGATGCAAGGGGCCACCTTCCCCAAGCTCTTTGCTGAGCCCGCAGCTGCCGTCGAAGCTGCAGAGGTGGAAGGCCTGGCCGTTGAGCAAGGCTGTTCATAAAGCATCTCAGACAACAAGCCTGCTGTACATCACATCCATAAAATTTAGTTGCTACATAAGCTGTATCATGTCGCACAGAATACCACCGTGCAACACAACACAAGACAAGAGAACCTAGTATAGCAACCAGTACAATGTACCTCACAAGAACCATAGCATGACACAACACAACTCAAAAGAACGTGCCGCAGAATAATGGCATAAGAAAATCCGGAGCCGAGCAGCAAGCGGGCCGCGACACATCACAATTTGTTATTTTGTGCGACGAGACCGGCACTACAACCCTGAGCAATGGTTCAATAGTGGCAGACCGCGCTTCTTCTGATTAGTGGAAGGTATTGTGGCATGTTCATATTGCAGCAAAGCCACAGAAAGCCGAACATACATATGTGTACATTTTAATTACAGCCCGAGATCATCCGCTTGTGCACTGTCGGTCCCTTTGTCTCGATGGCAGCGAATAGCGTCTATCCGTCTTGTCCATGGGTCTTTGTTTGGCTGTCTTTGACGGTGGCTGCCTTGTCGGATGTCATGTACCCAAACAAGATGCGTGCGCCAAGAGGACTTTTACAAGCGAACCGTGTGGTAATTTGCGCAGCCCCGGTAGCCTGGCGATCACGAATGCTTGTATGCTCAACCGCTTAATGCTAAATGCCAGAGGCTTCCACGCGGCAATTGTCTGCCAGGCTTGGAGAAGGGAGGGTAGGCAAGGGCAACATGTTGGTTTCCTTGCAGGAGTCACAACCTCCAGGAATCGGCCCGAATAAGCTGCAAAATCATGTCGCAGTCTTAGGATGAGTAGTCAGCAGAATGATACTACAAGCAGTTGTAGTAGCAGTCGTGGTGGTGGTGGTGGTGGTGGTGGTAGGAACAGCAGCAGCAGCAGCGGCAGCGGCAGCGGCAGCGGCAGCGGCAGCAGCGGCAGCAGCAGCAGCAGCAGGTGTTGCTGCTGTTGTTGTTGTTGGTGGTGGTGGTGGTGTTGGTGGTGGTGTTGCTGCTGTTGTTGTCGTTGTTGTTGTTGGTGGTGGTGGTGGTGGTTGTAGTCGTGGTGGTGGTGGTGGTGGTGGCGGTGGTGGTAGTCGTGGTGGCGGTGGTCGTAGCAGCAGTAGCAGCATGAATACTAGTACCACATATCAGTAGTAGCCCAGTGGCTCTACGAGAAGTAGCAGGGAGAGAGACGTCGTCGTCACAAGGAACAGCAGCATCAGCAGCTGTGGGTGGTTGTGGTAGCGGTGGTGGTGATGCCGATGCAGTTGCTGTTGGAGTGGTCGTGACCAAAACTGTCGTGTTAACTTGCACCGTCCAAGTGGTGTTGGTGGTGATTGTGGTGTTTGCCCGCAGCCGGACCGGAAGCCGTGGCAAACGCAGAAGCCGAAGCAGCAACCAGGGGCATTTGTCGCTGTGGTTGTCGTCCTGTATAGCGACAGCTATGGTGTTGTAAAGTTGTAAATGTTGATCTTTATGCCGTCCTTGTCGTCGCCACAGTCAACGCTTAAGGTGGCGAAAGCTCTACGGCCGCGGCAAACAGGCGACCTCCATCAAGAGTTACAGGGCAGCTTCTGGACGAGCCAAGAGCCGCCTCGCAGGCACTGCTTGTCAGCCAATGCTTGGTGGCATGGGAGCAGAAGGCGGAGGCCGTGGGACAGCAAGCACCACCAGTATTGGTCTCTGTGGTAAAGCATGTGGAGCTGTCATGGAGGTTGGGCTTGTCCACACTTGTTTTGCTGCCTGGTTAAAAATTGTGTCCGTTCGAGCCTCAGTTGATGCCAAATTTGCTTGAAACCTTACCTTGCCGCGCACTGCATGCCGGCACGGCAGGCAGCAGCGTCGAAAAGGCGCAAAGAGCAGATGCCTCAGTAAGCTTCAGTAAGACTCGACAGGGCCGGGAGGTCTTGCAGACACGATTTCAAGAGAAGACTTACTGCTTCGAGTCAAGGCGGAGTCATGAGGCGGTCGTGCTGGCCTTGCAGAAGTCGGGTGCCGAATGCAATCTGTCAAACCTGTTTCAGAACATGTGTACCAGTTTCATGACTTAAGCCGTAAGCCTTCCTGTACGGGAAAGCAGATGTAGTCACATAGTCTATGCTTCAAAGCTTGCCGAAGCCGAAGAGAAAAGGTGGGAGCGTGGAAGCAGGAATGGGCTACTCCACGAGACTATGATCCAGTGCGAAGCTGAGTTGTGTGCAGGCGATCCAACTACGTTCTGACTTTGCAGGATGCCGAAGGATGCACATGGAGAAGTTGCGATATGGGCATATCATATACCTGTGACGCAGTAGCATGCCCTGTTTGTGCCCGCCCAGATGGTTCAAAGTCAGCGTGGCTCGAAGACGGCACGCCGTGGCCACAGCGGATCCAAGAGACCCGAGCTTGATTCTTTAGGTCCAGGATGCTCGTCGCGAGTCTAACACGTAGCCAAAGTCGGGCGGCAAAATGAGTAGCTTTTACAGCAGATGCTTGGATGTTGTTCGATTTGCGCAAGACTGAACTTAGGGGAGCTTGCGTGACTCATGACAAGTTCGAAGTGACGAAGTGTTTGCAGTGGTCGCTCCCCTGCTCTGCCAGCACTTGCTGATGACATTCGCTGAGATGGACCTTGTCAAGAAGAGTTTGGTCTCTTGGGAGCTGGAGGCTGGAGCGAGGACCTCAAGAGCCAGCAACGTCTATTTCAGGACTTCGGCTTTCTCGGTGCACTGGGTGCTGCGGGCGCTTTGTACCTGTCGCAATTGAGATCGCTGGCTGCATATCTTGCCATCATCCGCTGTGCAAGGTCTCCCTGACCCACACCTGCTTCACTGCTTGGAGCAAGCTCCTGGCCGTCGCATGCCCAGCAAAGGGGAGTGGGTGGAACTGACGCGTGCATCCAAGACTCGGCCGAGTCTTTGACGTGTGTTGCATTGAAGCTGCACTGTTTTCCTGGCCGGCCAAGGAAGCAAGGAGCCGGCATATCAAGCAGCCTCGTCCTAAATTTGTTGCCTCTCGGGTCTCGATCTTGCTTGAGGAAAGTGCCGTGGATTAATCAGACACTGCACCGCCAGACTCTGTGGGCAGACTCAGCAAGAAGCCAAGCAAGGCAGCAAACGGAAGCTGTGGCATTGGCTCTGCAGAAGTGTGAGCCTGAGTATCGTCAGCGCGATGATAGGTTAGCACTGGGTTTCTACCAAACCGGTACGATATGAACAAGGTGGGAGCGCGGCAACGAGAAAGGACTGTTGCACGAAGTCTTGGACCAGTGCCCGACCTCAGCTTTGCGGAGTGCTTCCTGTAAGCCGGGCTTGGCCATCGAGCAGCCGAGGTGGTACAAGCTCTTCGTTCCAAGATCACGGCAGGCCTTGCACGGAGGCTTTCGACCCGATCCACCAGCACGTTCCTTCGAGTACACGAGGCCGCGATGCTCAGCAGTTATCTCGTGTCCTGGGAGATGGAAGCAGAGGCGCGCCGAGCAGGGAGCGCTTCCACGACAGCTGCCCTCGGTGACAGGTCGGCTTGACGCAAACCTGCTTCTCCGCCTGGCAGCATCTCGTCCAGGCACTTCGGGGAAGTACCGAGAGACAGAGTCACGGGCTGAAGTTCGCTTTGGGCACAGGGGGAAGCACGGAGACGCCTGCGAGAGTCGGTGGCCTGAGAAGACCAGGGAGACCAGGCCGTGCCTGGCAGCGCTTTGCTTCCCTCGAGGCGAAGCCGCGAAGGTGTGCACCTTGCCGTGCAGAAGCAGACCGGCTCAGCCACCTTACGTTCACGTGTCTGTGTCTGTGGGGTGTGCACAGCGCTCTTTACGATGCCTTGGGAGATTTGGCCTGCTTCAGCCCAGGTTCTTACTGGGCAACCAGAAAGGGTTGTTGCATGAAGCCCTGAGCCTGCGGTGAACTCAACTTCAAGATGACTTTTTTGTTATCCACCGCCTCCTGCATGAAAGCTGCAGCGAGCTGAGGTGGCAGCATCTGTGTGCCAAACGCGCCCAGCGCGCTGAACCCTGAGACTCGAGCTGATGCTGCAGGACCCGCAAATGTGCCGGGTAACGTGGCGTCAGGACCTCCTCCTGAAGAAGTACTTGGTGTCCTTCGAGATGGAGACGGGGGTCTCACAAGCCTGCCTTGGGGGCAGAATCAGAACGCAATGAATGCAATGTCCCCCTTCTCTTGATCGCACATCTGAGATCCTGCGCGTGGGATCGGCGATGGACCTGCCAGGTTGGTCTGACTCAGACTTGCTTGGCTTCCTGGAAGAAGTTGGTCGATGTCGGAGCACCTACCCGGATGCTTCAACTCCAACGCTGTCAGAAAAAGTTTTACTGGTGATGTGGCCGCATACAACAGCAGTTTCGCTTGCCGAGGCACAGGCACGGCAACGCAGCAAGGAGTGAGGGGCCTAACCCAGCCCAGAGCCTCACAAGACTTACAAAGACACGTTGGTGGGACGACCGCGATGCAGGAGAATATGGAGAATTGCCGGATGAAGTTTGCCCAAAGGGTCATTCTTCTGCAGGCATGGGCACGAAGCGGTCAAGCTGGCGCTTCAGAAGTGCGACCCCCACTTCTTCAACCTTTTTGCTACCCGCTTACGAGAAGTTCGCTCGCCGCCACTGTCCTACGGCATTGCGTGTGGTCCTTGCCGAGGTGGGAACGCGGCAATGCTGCAGGTCTGTTGCACGAGGTCGTGACTCAGCCATCTGCTCAGCCGATGCAGGAAAGGGGGCTTTCACGTACTGCTAGTTTCTTTCTACTGCTTCCACAAGCATTGTGGTAACTGGGACGTAGACACTAAACCCTCGTTGTAGACGTGCAGCCCCGTGTCACGGGTTTCTTGCAAGAAGGTGTAGTTGACAGGGGTCCCTGAGCACATGTGCGCAAGAGAGACAGAGAGCACTCAATGAAACCATTGTGTGGTTGGAAGGGCCGATGGCCTGAGGGTCACGACGTGACCCGTAAGCCAGCAGAAAGAAAGAAAGGGCTAGAGAGCGAGAATACCTTAGTCTCAGAGTTTCCAAAGGCGGAGGGCCAGCAGATGACCTCGAGCGAACCAAGAGACCGGCCGCCCGTTGCGCCTGGGGGGTAGGTCCACGGGCCACCTCCCTTAGGACCGACAACAAACAAGCAAGCGAGAATATCTTCTTACGGTAAGCCCTTTTGACCGGGGAGCCATATCTTTTTCAACGGAGCTCTCTGGCTGCTTATGGATTCAGTCCCTCCTACAAAGCCCTGAAACAGGGTTGCGCCGCTCGGCGCGGGGGCCTGACACGTCCCCTATGCCCCGAAGACAAGACGAGAGAGAGAGAGAGAGAGAGTCGAGTGCGCGCATGCGTGCGAGGGGTAGCGCCCGCTGCTCCTTTGGCTGTGTGGAAGAAGAGACAGCCGACTCACGCCGACTACAAAGACACTGGACAGTGGCGTAGCGCGTGAGTGCAGGGGTAGTGGGGGAAACCCTTCACCCCAAACGCCGTGCAAGCAAGAAAGCAAGACAGCCGACTCAACAGAGCCGAGCGTTCGAAAAGGGCATGCCTCACCACGGGGGACCTGGCCCTAGCTGTGTGTTTGCAACAGCGAGCGCCTCAGGACTTTGGCGGCCCATGCAGGGTGTCAGAGCTTGTCCGTGTGTGTTACACCGACCAGAAAGATCCTGCGCGCGGTGACGCGCGAAGGAAAGAGTACCCCTCCATGTGACGGTGGACAGGGCATCCATCCCAGGAGGAACTGCTTAGACTGATCGTAAACTCAGCATGCGGGGGCTTCACGTACGCGTGGGGGAAGGAGAGCCCTCAACCCTCGATGTCTCACACTTCCATCTAGTGGGAGAACAGAACTTCCAGAGTCAACCTCAGGTGGCAGCAGCTATGTGAAAAGCAGCGGCAACGAGCACAGAGCTAAGCACATTGTTGTGCACTGCCGTTTCGCCTCAGAGCCACCGCAGTATGTTCTTGCCAGCTTGCTGCAGACTGCACTTGCACCAACTCCTTGCGATGTGTCTGAAAGGTTTCCTGTTTCAGTCAAAGGCAACAGGCGCTTGGCAGGATCATCGACGCCATCTGAGCCGCGCAGGAATCTGGCTCAGATTTCAATGCATAGACTGTGGTCGTCGCCGATCGCAGCGAACTGAGCAATTCCTGCGATGATGCCGGGGAGGGCACCATCTGATTCAACCCTCTCGTTGTCCTCCAGCTCAAGCGACTCCACCACAGATGCACCGAGAGCTGAGACGGACAGGAGTGAAGTTCGTGAAAAATCCACACGGCGCCACCGCCGGCAGCTAATGCGTCAGGAGAGGCTCCAGGAGTTCTTGCAGCAGCATCAGTTTTCACAGGATGTGTGCGAACCACGAACACCTGGCTGCTGCCTTTTCGTGGACCGCGAGATGGTTTATCCGATTCATATTGCCGCGCAAGAGGGTGACCAGGAGCTCATCCGCATGCTGATTGCAAGCAACGCAGACCTGAATCAACGGACCTCAAAGGGCCGAACAGCTTTGGAGTTTGCGGAGGAAGCGGATAGCCATGGCTCCCACAGCGGCGTTTTGGAGTTTCTCAGGAACGACGTCAAAGTACTGGGCCTTCGACAGGCCTTGCAACTCTTGGACAAGGACAAGCAGAATTGAGAGTTGGCACCGAACCGGTTTCACACTTGTATAGGCTAATAGGAACAGGCTGCAGATTCAGTTCCGTGTTCATTTCCTATAGTTTTTTTGCCTTAGGCAGAACATGTGAGGAAAGCTTTTTGGAATGCACAGAACAGAGATTTTCCACTGGCGAGCTGGTGCGGTGCCGGTACTATGCTAGCCTGACACAGCTTTTTGGGCTGTTCCCATCAACGAACGCGGACGATTAAAAGGGGTGTGAGGGGGGGATGGGCTGCGCCACCCTGGCGAGTCTCCGATTGCGTACGAGCAAGCCTGCAAGAACAGTTTCCGAGGCAAACGAGCATGAGTCCATACAGCTCGCCCTGCAAAAGCCTGACTCTCAGCTCGTAGGTGTGACAGATACTTACAGAAACAGGCGTGGCGCTCCTGTCTCCGAGGTGGGAGCGCGGCAGTACGGAGGGTCTTCTGCATGAGGTGGTGGGCCAGCCTCCACCTCAGCGGGCTTTGTTCGCGCAAAAGCCTCACGTAAGATCATCTAAGTGTGTGTCAGGTGGAACAAGCTCTGCAGTGAGAAGCGGGCGAAAGGGCCTGTCACCAAGCTTCCCCCACGATGTGTGCAAAGCCTTGGAGCATGGCCCGCTTTCTCGTTTTGCACCGAGTCAGAGCATCGTAGACTCGATTTAGGCATGCCCGCGAAGCTGTGGCGCTGGCACTGCAGAAGTGCGGACCCTCAGCCAGGGTTTAGTGATTGTGACAGTCGGCAGCAGAAATTATTGAATTTCGGAGTCAAGGAAGCTCGGAAAGGGTAGTCGAGACAGAGTTGCGGAGCCGAGGTGGGAACGCGGAAACATCGCCGGGTTGCTCCACGAAGTCGTGCATGAGAAGCTGCCTTAGCGTTTGCTCAAGCAGTCTCCAGACCGATAGGCTCTAGGATGTCAGCAGGATGAATCAGCATGGCCGACTGGCAGTTGCTGACCTGCCAGGTGGCAGAAAATCTCTGCGGAGCATCGGCGGAAGGTGCTATGCCTGAAATGTCGGAGTCGCCTGCAGCAGCTTTTGATCACGAGCCCAGATGATGAAATAGATGAAGGGGGGGGAGGATGGCGGATGTGCTT